GTTCCTGACAGTTGCGGTAGTTATATCTTAGCAATTGGTCTACATTAGAAGCAAAGAAAGATATAACACTCATGTGTTGAGCCAAGCTGATTCTCTTTCCGGGGGTTTCGGTAAATCAGCTGAGGTGATCTTAGCCATAGAAAAGTTCCAGTTCCAGTGAAAACTGGAGCCTGCAGTGAGTGGTGTGTAACTGGCATATTAATTCTGTGCTGCAAGGTTTAATTATATATTCTGAATGAGACATTTAGATATACAGCCTCTCTCTAAATGTCCTTTGTGTTATATTTTAAATTTCTAGTTGTTCATTTTTTATTTTTTTGACACCATATTTTGATAGCTTCCTTTTGGGAAGGAGTTTTAAAAACAGTCGGTTTGACTCTGAAATGCCTGGAAGCATCTACAGAGATTCAAGGTGAAATCTTAAAACAGGTGATAATCGGCCATTGAGCTGTCACACAGCTGATTGAGCTGAAGGATTGTAAAAGTGCTGCCTGCCTTCCATACAATAACACTTATACTTGCATATCTAGACTCATATCAAGTTTTAGTGAGACGTAAAAATGTATTTTCTAGGTTTAGAGATAACCTATGAGGACAATAAAGCATATGCTCTATTCTGGGGCAGAATATCCAATTGCTTTCCTGAACCTATGTACTGATTTTAGTATCATGTACAGCAGAATCTGAGTCTTGAGAAAATGTATTTCTTTTCATATTGAGGGAACATAAGTGGATATTAAGCAGGAGTGCATTTAGGATTAAATATAGGAAGTGCTTTCTTTACACACAGAGTGAGTGATGTCAGGAACAAGCTACACAGAAACATTGTTGAAGATAACTCAATAGGATCTTTATAAAAATAACCTCATATGTTTCTTAATTTTTTTTAAGCATTAAGAGTCTGGCAGCCAACAAGGTACAAAATGTTCGTCTCTTCTGTAGCGGCATTCTTGTAATTGTCAATACACTTACATTTATCTAGATATTCATTCAATCAATTAGGCCAGAGTATGTGACTGGGTCCGTAGCACTGCACAGTGATTTTGCAGTTGCTGCCCTATTTTTGAAGCAACCTTTAGTAAAGAAAATCATTAAATTGTTGATCTATATGTTTTAGAAGCATCTTCAATCTTCAATAATACAGCTTCGCTACCCTTGGACACATGCGCTGTGTTCGACTTATTTTTCTTATTCAAATCAATTTTAAAAGGGCTGAAAAAAAGAGAGGGCAACTCCTTGTGACCGAGTCTTGTAATATACATTCAATCCACACATCAAAAGGCTGCACAATTCACATGAG